ATTAAGTCATATACTTTATCAGTTCTGTTCACAGAACTAAAAATAGCCATAATGGTCTTTGCAAATAAAGTGGTTGGTTCCAGATAGGAGAGGCTTCTCTTAATATTTATCTTTCAGGTCAATAAAAGCCACACATTGAAGTTTTATGTGGAAAAATTAAGTGGGAAATAAATATTAGGACATGCGTTAGATGGGTACTGATTCAGCTGGATACCAACATCTTTACATTTTCTTTGTATCTTAGAGATCCCCTAAAAACAGAGATGGAGTTTGCCTCTGTTAATAGATGTCTTCTGTGTCACTTGACTAAAACAGTTATGGCTCCTCACAAACAGCCCCTCTTCCCTGTCCACATATATGGCCACAGCTTACTGCAGCTGCAAGCAGCCGTGGGCAAGGTTGGAATGGTCCTCACTGTACCGCCTTTGGAGTCACACCTAGTTGCCCCAAGGTGACCGTGCAGCTCTACTCTCTCTGTAGATAGAAACACCTTGTGCCAGGTGTGGAGCTGAACCCGCCCAGCAGCAAGACAGCTGCTGGAGGGTCCCTTACTGCGGGCTGTTTTCAGGCTTCTGCAGAGTACATGAAAACTTGGCTGTCATAAACACGGGCAGAGAGAAGGTTAGCATACACTGAGAAGGAGAAGATAGCACTTTTCACTTTTTGGTTCTAGAATACTGTGTGAACATTTAGAATTTTTAACCAAAAGAGCTCTGTAGATTTATTTTCTGTGTGATTCTCCTAAGTTAAATGGTCTAACACCGAGCTCTCTACCCTAGTAGGTATGTAATTATTAGCCAGTAATTATCACCTGTTTTAGATCTCATGTTTTTTTCTGTCAGGACAAATGATGGAAAATGCTATTAAAACGAATTATTTACATATGTCTCCTAGAATTGGAACACAGCTATAGTAATTCTTTCAAAAGTTATTATCTTCCAGCTTTTCAAATGTGGAATTCCAGAACCTAAGGGTGCAGGGGAGGAATTTAACGGCTATAATTCAAAGTTTGCCTATTTTGGGAATTCAATTTTACCATATATTTTGATTTAAAAATTCTCCCAAACAGTGAAATGTGACCAAAGTCATTCTTTAAGCTAATAAAAACCACCTGGTAGCTGCATCCTAAACATACTTCCTGTTTTTAGTGTGTCTTTTATTAGCATTAATCTTGGACCATGGTTGGGGTAGAAAAGATACAACGGAAAAAAACTTTGCCTTAACAATGTGATATAGTATGAAAAAAGCTGACACTGAAAAAGCCAACAAATCTAAATTTGAGGACTCATAATTTTATTATTCTGGCTCTAGCCTTGCTGTCAACATTATCTGTAAGGACTACTTGTATTTCACCTAAGTCACAAACATGGATTTGAGCTGAAAGAACAATACTATCGTTGCTCTTACTAGCCTGTCCCATTCTATTCCATCCTTCACTGTCAAGTTCCAGTTTCAAGTATTCCGTGAGGCTCTCTCTCCTGATAAACTGCAGAACTTGGCTGTAAGTCCTACACTGGCATGTTCTTTTATGCTATCTTGTGATGCTCTCATGTGGTTTCATGGGTGTTAGTTTTGTTTTTCTAGGTACTTTTAGGCTTCAGAAATCTCAAATTAAATGAAATAATTCCGTTCACTTTATTCTTCTTTAAGTCATTAAGTTACTTTGACTAGTAGGGGTTTCAACAAATAATTTTAATATTTCGGCTGAAAACATTTTTGCCTGTTAGACAAACTAATCTCTAGCACACCTCTGCTGAGAGAGCACAGAATGCTCTCACAGGCTCACCACACACTGGGTCTACTGCACTGCTTGACCACTGCGAAGCTGTACACTGCAGACCAAACAGCTTTCATTAGAATACCTTCACATGCACGTGAACTGCCCCCAATGGGAAAATGTTCTTTACTTCGAATTACTGATCTACAACTTTTAAATTATGACCCATTATGGACTATCAATATATTCCTGGTAAAATCATGTATATGAACATTAACAGCATTTATGTCCTATTGGATTTCATTCGATCATACCTAACTCTAAAAATAATATTAAATAAGCCACATATAGACACACTGAATGGCCTCAAACTTATGCCAAGTAGTAAAACTTGGCATGGGGTTCTGATTTCAGGAATTTTTAAACTTAATATTGCTTTTTCCCAAAGACAAATCCAGAAAGGGCCACCTTTGGGATTTGTTTGTCCTGAAATGAGAATGGGCTGTAGGGGTCCTCCTTAGAAGGCCACTGGTGAAGGACAGGATAGAAAAGCGAGACACATTATCATGAAGGCAGGAGAAAAGGGACATGGTTGTCTTTCAGTCTGAGGCAAACTCCAGAAACGATTAGCATGAGTCCTATAACAGTTACAACCCATGACTTGATTGGTGCTGTGATTCCAGAATGAAAGGTAGCTCAGCCCCAAGGTACTTTTCTCTTATGCACCTACTCAACCAGTTAGGTCAGATGTGAAATTGACACTCTTATGCAATGTTAACAAAGAATCCCCCCTTTTAAAATTTATTCCAACTGTCGTTATATTTCCACCAATGTCACTCGTTATAAGTAACACTAGTGTCAAAAATGATTAGTCCAACTATAAGAAAGTCAGAATAAAAACTAAAATAAAAGTCAGAACAAGTCACTCCCCAGTCACTGTCCTTCAAGGTCATCTCTCTATCTCTTGACCAAGTTTCCTGATCTGGTGTAGAATATTCTTTACAACCTGGCTTCTGCCTCTCTTTGCTTCCACTGCCTCAGTCCACTTTTCACCCCTCACGCTGATGAAAACAGCCTATTGCTCACTGCACACAACCAGGCCATTTCAGGCCCCTGCACTGACACATGCTATTCTCTGACATTCTTTTCACCTACCAGTTACCTAGCTAGCTCCTTTCTACTTATCCTTCAAGCCTCAGTCCAGGTGTCAACCTTGAAGACGTTTTTCCTAATTTCCCCAGACTTCACGAAGTGCTACCCACTCCGGGTTCCCATCGCACCTCGTGCTTACATTGACCAGAACTCTCATCACTTTGTGTAGAATAATCAGTTATGAACTGCCTACCCCCGCTAGCCTCTAGCTCAAGAGCAGGCACAATGTTTATTCAGGTTTGTAGCCACGACTCCAGGCATACCACTGAGCACATTGTTGGCAATTAATCGATGTTAGGTGAATGGAAACAAACCTTTTACAAACAAATCAGGTTTAAAATATCTCTGGTATAACTGTTCTACTTCTGATTGTTGCTAATAAGTACACTGTGAGATCTGAGGACAGCCTGATACAGAAAAGGAACTCAATGATCATTTAGAAATTGGATGCCTTTCAATGTATTTTCTGTGTACTACTCAGCTCATTTTTAAGTGGAATAAAGAGCAGAAAACTGAAGAGAAAAACCAGTCCTATAAACCCAAATCTACCCGTTAAAAACTCCAAAATTAAGTGACTTTTCTCTTTTACTTTTTTCTTGAAATATGGTAAAAATAGGCTCTCTCCCTGTTAATCTTGTTAAGAAAACAAAATCAAGATCATCGTTACTGAAATATATACTTATTTTTGGCTAATTTAAATCCTTTAAGAAAATAAGCAGTTGCAAAATTTTCCATGTTACAGCTCAAAATAGAGAACTTGAAAAAAAAATACTTGTGGAAAAATGTTATTTTTGCAGTATAGGATTACAGTTTACATACAGCAAACCATCTATAATGAATTAGATTCTTCCTTTTCCTCTGAAAAGATTAGAAGAGTCTCCCTGCTGTCAGAACCCAAATAGGCTCTTTTGGGTGTCACAACCAATACCGAATTCAATTCAATCAATTGATGATGATGAAAGATACAGGAAGTAAAACTTGCGAAAAAAATCTCTGATGCCAGCGTTCCAGTCTTCACCTCTGCTGATCTTTTTCAACACTGAGGAACTTTGTCAAGCTATGAAATATTCACTCTGGAAAAATTCTTGATTGTGTCCTTCTGAAAATTCTCTTATGTTGCTCGATATACTATCATTTAAGATGTCAGTTTGTTGGTTTGTTTTTTAACTGAAAGCATATACAGTTTATCGGTGTTTTGGAGTTTGAGGAAAGAAATTGATTTCCCACAGAGAGTGAAATTTAGTCCAGGAATAAATTTAGCATATTGGCTTTGTTAAAAAAAGGTTTGGCTGTATCTATTTGAGAATCTCTTTGATTTTTTTTTAATATGAATAAATTTGATGATTTTGCCATGTAAAACAGAACAAAACAAAACTTACTACATTTCTAGAAATGTTAAGGTCCTTATATATCTTGTAATAATAAAATGAACTGACAAAATATTGGGTATTTTATATTTATAAAGGGATCACAAAACTATACAGTAATATAAACAAACTGGTATCAATGTGTAATAAGGTACACCAAAAGAAGCTGTCTATTATTGAACAATGCTAATACTCCCCCCCCCCCAAATCTATTCTCATTTGTCTGTGATAAAAAAACGCCAAAACAAAGTATTTTTGTGTCTGGGACCAGTATCTAGTTATTTAAACTATTGTAACGTTAGTTACGACAACGTTATAACATTAACTATTATAAACTTTTGCCTACATTTATCACATGGCTTTTATTTCCTTGCCCTCCCTCTTTTAGCATGTCAGCTAAATTCTTCTGTGCTTCAAATGTAGTTTACGTCATGTATACTCCAGTTATCTCTGGTTCACAGACTTTTCTTTCTCTGAATTTTGGTATTTAACATCGACTTTTGGTACTAATGGCCTTCTATTTTTCAGTGTTCCCAGTTATACTGTTAGCTTATAAGACCATCTTGTTAGCTCTTGTATCCCCACCAATAAGTTGCATATTTGCAAAACATGACTTTAGAAGTATCTAGTGCTATGTATGGAAAGGCAAAGAGTGAAATGGAAACTAGACCCTCCCTTAAGACAAAGAGGGATGATGTCATTTTATTCCTTTGTTATGACTTTTGCACTCTCCAAATTTACCTGTAATAGCACTAGTGGCTTACCTTGTGTCTGGTTTTAGATTTTCTACTGTGGAGAAGGTTTGATTCGTAACTTGAACAGACTTGTTCTTCCCACTGAATGATCCATTTTCTCTGGATATAACTTCATATTCTGAAAAGCGAAAAAGCCAACAGATACTTGTCTTTATGTTCAGCTGATTTAATTGTTCTTGACACTAGTAGCATAATAAAATCACTCATAAAAATGAGCAACTCAGATTGCAGTTCTGATCTTATATGTTATACATTATGTATTCATCGTATACATTAGCAATTTCCAGATGCGCATAGTCAGTGGGTGACGAAGGTTCCAAAGCATTTGGGAGTTCTCATTGACCATCTCTGCTTTTCCTTTACCGGAGCAGGGAAAGCCTGACAACTGTGATGACCAATGACTCTCCTATGGTAGCTTTGGATACTGGTAACCTATGATTTCATTAGGTAAGTCAATCTGCCGTTGTTGGAAAGCACTGTATGTGGAATGGTGTTTGAGTAAGAGCTGTGTTTCCTGCTCTATGGGGCTTTACAATACAGTTTGGAAAAAGCCACTGAGTACAATGTACTGCTGCAAAAATCTTCTCTGAGTTTAAAATCCTAGCAGCAAATAACAGTTAACCAAACCATTACTTTGAACCATAGAATTATGGAATTTTTATACCTACTGCTTACATAAGTTACTTAAGTTTTGTATATACTGCTTATACATGCCCCCCTTGATAATTATCCTTGTATTTGTAGAAAGAAACTATGTCCTTAAAGTCCTCATAGAGCCCTGCATAAATTTCACTTAAAGGCATGTTTCCATGAACTAATCAAAAGAGAAAGATTTTCAGAATATGAGAGTATAATTTATAAATTTGTTAATTGGTTTTCCCTGCTCTCAGTTGGGGTTCAGTTTAAAGCATTTGACATACAATGGATTAAAAAAAATCAGACAGAACCCAGTCAACAAACAACAACAAAATCCCATTCAGAATCAGCTCCATCAATATGAAGAAATGCACAAATGGTGGGCATTAGGGAAAGGGGGAAGGCTGCAAAGGAGCTGGCAAGTACCTGGAAATTTCTGCTATTAGCACTGAGACCAAAAGTAGGAGATGGATACTGGAAATAAAACTGAAACTATAGGATAACTCAGGAGACTTACAATCAGGAGTTTTGATTTGGGAAGGCTTCTTAATGCTGTATTTTAAAAATCCAAAAAGGAGCATGACTCTTTCTGAATAATTTATGACTATCCTTCCAAAAATTCATAATGAAACTAGAAGGCAATGACATTGTATCTGGACACATCAGTACAGCTGTTAAAAGATTAATGGCTGGTATTTAGTATTCCTTCTCAGACGACCATTTTTTGTTTGTATTTTGTTGTTTCCCAACACTTTTTATTACCAGTTAAGTTGGCTTTCAATTCTAATGGAGGGTGCAGAGGGAGAGAGGGGGAGGATCCTGAATTCAATATGTCCATTTTATATCTTTTCCTCAGCTGTGAAGGGATATTTACTAGAAAAAGACAGGAGTAATTAAAATGGAAACTTGATTTTTAAAAAAATAGAAACGGTGTGGCTTGATGGAAAGAGACAGACCAAGACACTTGCCTCCATCTCAGTTGTGGTTTTTCCATCTGTAAAATGTCAATAATATCCCTTCATTGTGTTGCTTCTGGGAATTACATTAGGAACATATAACAAGTGCTTAATAGTATTTTACATGTATATTTCTCAACAGGTGGTACCTATTATTATTGTTGCTTTTATTATCCCTTATTAGCCCTGTAATATGTTTTGAAAATAAGGTCACAAAAATTTGAATGATTCCAATTGGAAAGATTCAAAAGTGCTTCTTAGTCACCAAAAGAACAACTTATATTATAGTCTATTTGGTTATTCATGAAAACTACCATCTTCAAAAAACATCTTTTGCTTGGAACATTCCTCATCAACGGTGTGATATTCTTTTTAATAGTACCACAGCCCGTTAGTGCTTGAAACTCTTATTGCACATGTAATTTTCTTTTGACTCAAGTTTTAAAGATTGATTTAATACTATTTTTGTCCTGAAATACTGTTTTTTTCAAACTGGATTTAGAAGTTACCTTCATAATTAAAAAGATATTTAGAATTTCTCTTAGAATTCAAGCTTTTGAATGTATATAGTTGGGCTTTGTAAATATATCTTTCATTTTTAATGTTTTAAAGTGATAATAGCTTTTTCATAAATCCACCATTATAAAAATAGAATAATTTTGGAATTAATATTTGTAGATACATTCTGAATATATTTCAGAAGATAAAGGCATCCTCTTAAGTATATGTCCATAGTTCTTCTTTTAAAATATTTGTTTATAATTTCATTAACAACAAAGATATAACAAAATCAATAAAGAACTAAAGCTGAGTAGTTGGTCTTTTTCCCCCCATCGGAGGGTTTTATTGCCTATTATGAGACAATTAACTTCATAGAAAAAAATTTTTTTCTAAAGATTGGGAATATCACTGTCTGGTCAACAGAGTATGAAAATAGTAATGATAATCTATTTCTAACTGTCCTACTACTGCTGTTACTGACAAACATTAATTGAACAATTGCTAATTTATGCTGCCATTCAAAATCTGTTTAATTTTATCCTTATGATAAATTGGTAACAATGGGTATTATTACAAATAAGGAAACTAAAGTTCAAAGGGGCTAATTATATACCCAAGTTGCATATCTAGAACACAGTCGATCTGGGATTTAAATCATGTTGATCTTGGCATGTCATAAAGCAACATCTTATAAGTTAACTTTAAGTTGTTCAAGGACCCAAGCTATGGCCAATTTCTTAGGTGCACCTATTTATACATCACTGTAAGGCCATGTAGAAGCAACTGAATTTGATTGTATTTACTAGAAGTGAATATGTGCTCGTCAATTAAAAGATAGATTATTGACAGAAGCCAACTCGTGGAATAAAGTATATGTTTCACTCTTTTTTTGTTATCTTTATCCATTCTTTCTTATAAAATTATTTTCAGTGACATGAGAATTAATTAATCTCTGTATTATCTAAGTTGCTGGTTTATAAAAGATTATATTTGAAATCAAATGGTATTTAATGAACAATTTAAAAATAAATGGAAAAAGACCATTAGGACATATGGTCCAACATTTAAATACAGATTAGGTGAGTATTGATTAAATATGGATTTATTTCTATTTAGAAAATTTTACAGCTAAAGAGATATGGTTCTATTCCATGAAAATTATTATAAGTTCATTATCTTGTGGAAGATCTCAAGCAGCTCATGAACATTTGGTGACAATGTTACAAAAGTAATTGGTTGGAGAGGTAAACTATACCATTTTCATGATTCTTTGAGATTACAAGTTTATATAATTAAAAAACAAATGTTACAGAATGAATCAGAAAGTAAAATCCTTTTGCTTTAAAAAGTTAAATCAGATAGAATTGACATATAAGTGAATATGTATTAGATTATTAGATATATTAACCAATTCCAACTTGAGGTCCCATATCTTTAAGGCAAATGAAATTTTATAGGTCATTTGGTTTGTTAGAACTAAGCCTCAGACTATCAGAGGAACTCCTTATTAGCACAGTATATGGATTGAAAATTCTGCACTTTTTCATACATGTAGATAATCAATACTTAAGGATTGACTGATTTTTAGATATCAATTTAGATTTTTAGATATTAGATATTCTTACCTATTAACTTTGCACCTACTGGCATAGTCCAAAGTAAAGAAGCAGGGCTAGGCAAATTCCTAGGAACCATGGGGCAGTGGCTAGTTCGTTCTCAAAACAAAGGTAAGCTTTGTATGAAATAGAAAATTCACGAAATATGGTTTAAAAAACGAAAAGATAAGCTGCTTACACTGGAAGTTACCCAGACTGAATGATTTCATCTGAGGAGAAATAACTGCTGTTTTCTTCTTGATTTATAGAGGGTTTTTTTTTTTTTTGGCAGATGCTCAATCTCCCACTCTCCACCTTCCCTTGTGTACTGATCTCTACTTTTGGTAGTTTCTTATTGGGCCCCTCTATTGCCTTTCTGCTCATCCCAGGCACAGCGCAGGGACATGGACAGCAGGAACCTTGTTACTCAGGCTATGTGCCTTATCCTCTAGCTGATTTAGGTCATA